ACATCTGAATTTTCCAATGTCAGTCGAAAAAGTCACCATTCGGGATCGTTTCCAATTTTCTTTTCAGTTCTGTACACAGCACGGTGCTTTATTCAACGTTTCTTTGAATAGTCGTTCTCATGCAAAGTTGAACATCAGCATGCTTAAAATAGAAAAAGCATCACATAATCGGCGATTGAAATCGATTAAATTAAAAGAATTAGTTACAATAAAGAAAGGATGACCTCAATTTGTCAAATTCCAAACTATACATATTCATGTAATAAATAATAATAATATGTATGTTTCAGTTTAATTTTAATATTTGTTTCTTTGGTCGTTAGAGATAGGTTTGCTTATCATTATTCAACCTATTTTATTTTATTATATTGGAAATTTCCATGATTTCAAACGCACACAAGGTAGTCAAATATCTTTAGAATATTCTTTTGCAAACAATAACAGGCCGATTTGGTTTCAATGGTCAGATTCTGCGAACGTCTTCGACAGCAACCACCTTTGTTAATTTTATTATCGATGCTCTCTATTTGTATGCAGGTTACATGAATTTCATAGCTCGAGGCAGAGTCATACCTTGTTGGGGTTTTCCCTTTATTCGCTTCTGGCTTGTATTCTTTTGTTGCGTACCAGGTATTGGTGGTGGCACCAGAACAATTTTTGATTTTGTCACATAATTTAGAGTTAGTTACGTTTTATCCTTCTTCTTGTTAACTTGTGTTTTTAGTACATATTTTCTTCGTTGTGCCTGTAGTTGTAGTTTGTTATTTCGTAGTAAATAATTCATTTGTAAATAGTCTGTATACAGTGTTTTTATATGAGTTTCATTCAGTCCGTTAAAACCAAAATTTTTAAAAAACACTGCTCGTGATTTCACGGCAAAAAATATATTTATACTGAATATACAAAAGTACCGAAGATTCCCTGCATAAAGATGTTGTCAATCAATTTCTGACACATTAATTGATTTTTACTAATTTGTGATAAATTTAGTGATGAGTTACGGGTATTGTTGTTATTAAAAAGAGGACCAAAAGATGAAAAATGATTTATTTTTTTCAAGCTTAAGTTCGCACAACTTTCTAAATTAATCGTTTCTTCAAAACTTAGCGAGAAATTCTAACATCAGTTTTTACATACATAACTGCAAAGAATGTGCCGCACGACACTCAGTGAATTGTTAAGTCGAATCAAAGCGCTTGGTATGTCTCAGAACATAAATTGTCGGTGATCCGTCAAAACCATTAGATTTTGACTTTAAACCAGGAATTGGCCAGGTACCCAGTTTGAATGCGGTACCCGATAATGACGCCGGGTACTCAACAGTGCCGAGTAATTCTACCGGAGGACAAAGAAAAAGTAAACACCAACAATAGTAACCTAATAAGTTTAACACAAATCTACCTAGTTGAAATTAGTAACTAAGATTGTATTGGTATAAGTCGTTTGTCCTGATTTGTACTACTTGTTAATTACTGTACTAAATTATTTGTTATTTCGATATAGTTCTTGTGTTTATTTTTATGAACAAGAATACATCAGTATTTGTTAGTATATCAAGTTCTGATTAACGATAACCGCGACAACGATTTAATTACCTAGCAGATTTTTACTATAGAACAAACAAAATAGCTCGAACCCCAACGCCAAAACACGTTGTAGTTGTCCGAAGCACTTTTCGGTAACAAGGTTACCTTCTTCAGGGATTGAAGTTCACTATCTGAAGAACAAACAACTAAATTGTCGTGTTTTGGTGTTGGGGTTTGAGTTATTTTGTTTGTTCTATAACAACCGCCAAAGTTTTTCCAATCTTCATAATTCAGATTTTTACTGTTTCAATTCAACCCTCTCGTTGAAATCCATCATGCAAGAATTAAAATTTCATTGGTTTGAAAGGTGGCATTAAATGGAAAGCCTGCCCAAAATATGACACGAAACATTAACCGTAGTGGTTTTAACTGGATAATCGGGTACTCGGCAAAACCACTATCCAGTGCATCTCAATTTTAAACTATTTAGTTCTTATTACCAGTAGCATATGGTGTTGTAGTAGGCGTACAGTAGAAATAAAAATTGTGTCAGTTTTTTTATAGCATTACATGCATGTGTGACAATCTGGATTACCGCGGTTCCAACAATATTTTTTAACCAAACGTTCAAGTTAAATTAATATAAGGTCAGGTTTGGCTAAAGAAATTTACGTACACAAGGTGACCGAAAATATTTGTAATATCAAAATAGAAACTGACAAAGTTTAGTTAGAAAAACCGCGATATCCAACCGGTTCCGGACTTCTATGAACTCTTCCAACTTTACACGAAATTGTATGCATTAATTTTCAATATATTCCAGTATACCCAATGCATCACCATGGGACATCTTTTGAACCCACGCCCAACCTTCTAGACACAGTTGCTTATGTTGCCCCCTAACCTTTCTACAGATGTAAGGTCCTTAGAAGAATAAGTCTGCCTTTTGATATCTAGCTTGTTGCTCGCTATACTTCGTCAATACACGATCAGTACATGAGTTTGATCCCTAAAAATGATTTCCAAAAAGTAGATTTCAGCTGATTCTGACTAAACTCTATTTCTAAGGAAAAGTCCTAGCGAAATTTTAGATTAACTAAGTGAGGAAAGAACGCTAAGATGATGAGATTTTACAACTACTCTTCAAGAAACTCCTGCGATTCCGACTTGCTCTTATCAATTCTGTTGTTGAGAGATTCTGGCATTAAATTTTAGGTAAAATTGAAGGAATGAAAGCAATTCCTAGTGGATCCATGCCTCTTTTTGAAAGTGTAACTGCATATTTTTTGCTCATCTTGTTGGTTCCCAGGGTTTGTTAGCCTCACTGAAATAAAATGCCCCTAGTAAAGTACAACGATGTCCATTTTTTTCGTCAGTTCACTACCCATGATTGTTTAAAAAATTGTAAGACCTCAAATGACGACTTAGCTCTTCGAGAATTGCACCCGGCAAAAATTCACTCCTGCAATGTTTTTCTGAGTTTCTAATTTACTTGACATATCAACAAATAGGAACAGAAATATTGACAAAAATCTGCGTTTGACCAATGTAATCGACACTCACGTTTATGACATTCCTGGCCACAAGGTGTCATCACCGAATTGCTTATTTATTGTAGATCGGTATGTGACAGCGATCATAACAGAACAAAATTAACATCGTTTGCTTATATTCAGTAATTTCAAAAATTACACGCTTGATAAATAAATAATTTATTAATTTGTTGACTACTTATTGAACAAACAAATTTGAAGTGATCAGTGTTCTGCCAGACGGTGATCGCGATTTCGATCTTTTTGAATCTCATCAGCGCGTCGCAGATAGTTTCGATAGAACACAGACCAATTTTTACCTGCTGTCCTAACAGCGCATTTTATAAAATACAACAAATGGCGTGGTAAACGCCATCTGTAGTACAATGCTACATTTAGTGAAATTCATTATGCTCAGTAAGTAGATATCCATCTATTTAAATGGACCTTGTTGTGCATAATGAATTCCACTAAATGTAGCATAGTACTACAGATGGCGCTTACCACGCCATTTGTGGTATTTTATGACTACTTATTTACTACAATGCTAAGATTTTGCTAAATAGTCAATAGCCATTTTTGGAGTTGTACAATTTGTCTTCTTAATTGTGATGCGTAACAGATGCTACATAAAAATTAGTGCGATAAGTTTAACATTAAAATGCCAACCATCTTGTACATATGTCAATGTGATGATTCACAAAATCAAAGAAATTCCTTTTAATGGCGATTACATGCAGATTTCTCGTTTTAAAATTCAAGCAATACACCACCCAAAGACTAAATTGCCCTGCTACACAATCCTATTTTAATTCTGATCCAAACACAAGAGGCGTACAAGATATAAAAAGCGTATAATATCACCATTTAGAAAATTTCCGCTCTATCATTTACAACACACCATCGGAAAGCAATTTTTATTGGTAGTTTCGCAAGTTTGCACGACCTGGCGGCAGAGAAAGTTTTTGTTTTATTTCGTATACTTGAATAAATGTTGCAATTTAATTAGATAATTATTTAATTTCTCTTCGGAATATCGATATCCCATTTAATATTTTCTATTAATATACTATATCTATAATACATTACTTATTTATTATTTTATCTCGTTGTCAGCGTGAACTGAATCATATATCGCTGTTTATATTAATATTGAAAAGAATTACAATAATATTGCTACAAGTAAAAGGTCACACAACATGTTTATGCATTTTTTACACCCGTACCAACTCTTGGAAGGAATATATATCTACGTACCTCAGAAAAATCTCCTTCAGCTTTTAAATGAAATTTAAAAAAAATACTTGCAAATGTTAATTAGATATCAAATAGTAGGTATTGTTGGTCTTTTATTTTTTGCCGGTGTTAGATCAACAATTATTATAATACAATCACATTTCGCTCACTTGCTGAAGGTTGGGTATTATTATAGACACTAGAATTAGTCAGCAAACTTTAAATTATCTAAAACTGCTTTGCTTACGACATGACGTTAATGAAGAAATTCATAATTCAGCGGCATGCAGTCAAAAGAACAATTCCTGTGAGTCAAAGCGTCAGTGAGATTACGCTAAAGGCTATTTTCCTCCACCTATAAAGTTGGTATTAACGTACAAAATTCTCTTCAAGTTTTCCAACGAAAATGAACGCTTCGAAAATAATTTAGAAACTTCAGCTATACGTACTGCCTGTGACGCCAATTACAATGATTAACTATACTCAAGTGACGATCTTATAAGCTATAGGTATTTATATTAATTGAAACAGAGGAAGAAGAAGCTTTTCAAGAAACTAACTTGTAAATTTGATTGCAACTTCAGTTATGGTAATATTAAATTAAATAAGTTTCTACCAGGCCTTTTAAGTGTTCCTTATAATTCAACAATAGAATTATTTTTGACCATATGATGTTTCAGGCGAAAGCAATTGAAAAGGTACTTACTTAAATCATTCATTTTATCCAAATAAAGGCAGGAACTTTTTGTTAAAATTTCTTAAAACTAACATGCGTTAAGTGAGCAGCGTGGAACACCATTCGTGCACTTAAACGGCATCAACTGCTTGGTTGTTTGGTAAACTAGGTGAAGTGAAAGCATATCGGGGAAAAAGAAGTATTACTGTTTAATCAGACTTGCTGCGCGCCAAGAACCAATGACTAACTTACCATTTTTTCCTTTTTTAAACATAACTGCTTATACTCAACCTACAGGTACAGTATACACAATCACGACAACAACGTGTCTTGAGAAATATCTTGAGTTTATAACACATTAACGTGCCATTAAATGGATATATATAACATAAATAGGTAAAATGTGATAAAAAATGGGTCACATGCTATTTGCTTAATAAGGTTAAAGAATTTGTTGTATTTTATCTCTTCTTGCTGTTTTTTTGTTCCTTATCTCTTCTTGCTACTGATATTAGAGTCACGTAAAAAAGGACAATACTGGCGAGCTAATAAACTTGACACCCTTTGTAAGCAAAAAATTGCTAGTGTATCGGCGTTTCTGATACTTCATCTGTTTTCGTTATTTGCGTAATCCACATTTCAAAGTGGTAAAATTAATAAACACTACAAAGACGGCACGTGCCTTCAAAAATAAGTAAAGGGTTGCAGAGAATCCAGAGAAACTAATGAAATGAATGAAATAGTGACGGTTTCGACAGAAAAGTGACCATCGTGAACTTCTTATTCTATTTGATGGTTACTTGTCTACTATATATGTCGTGGTAACTACGCTGAACTAAGTTCGACAAGTCGATATCCTTATTACGAATCTTGTCGAACATTTTTAAATTTACCGAAATGTGGCATTGATACAGATGATGTTCATTACACTGTTTGTAGTAGTTTATAAAACGCTGTCTAAAGGCGTCAGGTAGAGTTCGTATGTCCTCTGTTGAAAATGTCTACGGCGTGCTGACGAGATCCAATGAAACTGACGATTTCGCCAGAATACTAGTCACTAGTAACTGTTTGTTCTATTTGGTTACGTGTCTACAAAGTAAAAGTAACTACGCTGTTCGCAAGTGGATAATATTCTTATGAATCTTCTCACTTAAATGAGGCAATTTAAATGCTGTAGGTGTCGTCATTAAATTGTATATATGTTTAAATTGTATAAAAGTAATTAACGAATGAGGACCATGGAATTTTACATAATAGATTAAAAATGTAAAATTTTCCTGAATTTCTGATGAAGTCGTTTTCCGTGCTCCTACTTTTACATACGGCAAAACGTTTGCATGTAAACATGGATCACGATAATAATATCCAGAAATTCAGTATGTTTCATGGAATGAATCATCATCATCATCATCATAAGGTCGTCAGTCCTAAGACTGGTTGAACACGTACCTCCACTCTTTCCTATCCTGTGCTATTCTACGCATTTCCCTAAAGCTAGAACAACCCATATCATTAAATATTTGCGAACAGTAATCTAATCTAGGTCTACCCTTACCCCTCCTAACTTCCGTTTCTGCCTCTAATATGTCTCTGACTAGACCTTCATGCCTGAGATGGTGTCCTACTAACCTATCTCGCCTATTTCTTATTGACTTCCCTAGTCTTCTGTTCTCTTACTCACTCTTCATTTCTAACCTTCTCTATCCACGGTATCCTCATCATTCGCCTGTAACACCACATTTCGAACGCTTCTAACCTTTTCTTTTCCGCCGCTCCCCCACTGTTCATGTTTCGCACCCGTACAGCGCCGTGCTGCAAACGTACACCTTTAAGGACCTTTTTCGAATTTCTAAATTAACCGTTCGCCAGTATAGGAGTGACTTCTTTTTATTGAAGGCGATTCGACTCTGCGCTATCCTCTGCTTTATATCCTTAATACTCCTTCCGTCCTGACCTATCTGACTCAATAGATTCCTAAAATCGGCCACTTCTTCTAATTTTTCGTCTCCTATCTTTATATTCACTCTTTCCCTACTTTTCTTTCCCTTGCATACCAGTATTTCTGTTTCACTTTTATTTATTTTCATACAGTACTGTTTTGTCAATACCGCTTCCAATTTATTTAAAGCTATCTCTAACTCCTCCTTGCTAGATACTAATACTGCTATATCATCTGCAAATCTAAGCATACTAATCATTTACCCCTGTATGTCTATCCCTACAGTTGTACTGTCTTTTAGTGATGTTGATCGCGTCTTCGATGTATAGATTAAAAAGTAGCGGTGACAGTGTGCATCCCTATCTGAATCCCCTCTTAATATTTACTTCTCTACGTTGCAGCCTCATATCTATAACTGCCTGTTGCCCTTTATACAAGCTATGTTTCACTCTTATATTTTTGTAACTCATCCCTACATTTTTAAATATATTTAACATCTTGTCCCATTTAACATTGTCAAAAGCTATTTCTAAATCTACAAATCCTATGTACTCACTCTTTCCTTTATCTATCGTTATCTCTATTGTTACCCATAAAGCTAGAATGGCCTCCCGCGTTCCTCTATTTCTTCTAAACCCAAATTGATCTTCCCCTAATAGTACTTCCGCTCTTTTTTCCATCCTCTGTACGATTCTAATTATGCTTTTTGACGCATGAGAAGTTAAGCTAATTGTTCTAAATGTCTCGCACCTAACCACTCCTCTCTTTTTAGATATAGTTACTTCCACGTTCCGTTTATAATCCTTTGGAACTTTCTCCGTCTCGTAAATGTGACTAACTAGCTTAAACATACGATCTCTAACCTCTTGTCCTGCATGTTTTAGAATTTTCCCCTATATCCTATCTACACCTGGCGCCTTATTATTAACGTCAAAAACAAAGATAACTGATGTTTTCCTGTGATCAAATAATGTTTAATTTATATCTATCTACCTTCAATGCATAATAATTGAAACTTATCTTTATTTATTTGTTTTGCATCTACTTCTTGCCCATAAGCTAAGAAATTATAAATGCAGGGTGTTTCTGAAATAAGCAGCAAGTTTTGGAGGGTGTCATCTAGATGCAATAGGGAATCGCTTGGTGAGTAGAGCGTGATTAAAAATTGCAAACAAAAATAAGTTAAAATCCGAAACCGATTCCAAGTTAGAATAAGGACTCAGAAGCTACAACGATGGAGAACGTAATCAATACTGCTTGTCGATCGGCTTTAGTAAACACCAACAAAGCTACTACTACACATAAGTTTAGATGCCTATCACGGTATGAGTGAATTAATAACTATATTTGTTCGTTGTTAACAGTATACAACACTATTTAATTAACACCTAAGGATGTGAGTATACAAAACTAGTAAAACAATTTCTTATAAAGACAAATTTCCACGCCAACCTTAAGGTATTGCCAAAGCGAGTTACCTTTTATACACAGTACGTACGTTAGTCACCAGCTGATTGAATACGGCGTTGCATTGTCGCATTTCACTTCAAAGTTGCAAGTAGATTTGCTTGTATTTCTAACTATTTTTCTCAAAAACAGTGAATTTTCAGATCTGTAAACATTTAGGTAATTTTCTTATTTTATAGTGTCTTATCACCTCCAATGATAATGCTGCAGAAAATTACCCTAATTAGAGCAATAGGAAATTAAAAAACTGTTATTTGAGAATGTTAATTGGCTCATAATGAACTTTAACCTCAAATTTCGATTAAATTCAATTCGCCAATCAAGTGGCGAAGGATTGGCAGTTATGGAAAGGGTATAGAGCAGGGATGGCGAACCTTTACATATCGACGTGCCATTTTTATAAAGAAAAGTTTAATCAGACGTGTCATCAAATAATTTTGTGTTGTGATTATGGGGAAGATAATAATAATAAATAATATCAACTCAAAATTATTTATTTACTACAAAAAAATAGGAACATTTTGCAATGTTCAAATTATACGTGTAATTTAAATTAAAGTAAAATTAGTGTGACTTCTGTAGTTGCAGATTAGATGACAAATAACTTATGTTAGGGTTGTAAGAATGCATGCTGAACTGGAGTCATCTGTCAAACGGTTTCTAACCGAGTTTTTAATGTTATTCATCTCTGAAAATAATAACACGCAGGCATAGGTTGATGAAAACATTGTTGAAATACTATAAGTCAGCTTCTTCAAATTCCATGCTTCCAAAGTTTTGTTATTAGCATTTTCTCTTGTATTACCTGTCAATCTTTCTGTTTCAATTATTTCTAACTCTTTCCTTGTTTCAACAAATTTTTGATTCCATATTGAACTAGACTGGAAATAATTCAGCTGCATTTCATATTCTTCAATTTCCAACCTATTGAATTGGGACAAATTCAGTTTATCAAATGACGTCACATCAGGGTACATAAACTTGAGTATTTCCGATAATTCTCTGGGCTGAGAAAATCTCGCTGAAAATTCCTTGATTAAAGAATCAATCACAGAAACAAATTCTTCAGTAACTTTATTTTAGTCTGGTTTCTCATGTATTTCTAAATTGTTGTTATATTTTTTCAAATTTGGAAATTACTTGTAGATTCTTGTGATGACGTCGTTCTTGAAAACTGGCAGTTTAGCCTCAAAAGCGCGAATGACATCTCTATGCCTTGAAGCTTCACTCAGGTTTGCTCGTCATAGAATACCTACTTCAGACTTTTTTTCGTAGTGCATAATGAAATTTGTGATTGAAATTAGTATTGTGCCTAAAATATTGTGTCGCAAGCCACTAATGGTGAGATATATAGTGTTTAATGGAATGGAAATATGAAGACGCAGAAAAAAGCAGATAGAGATTGTATTTAAAATATATATTAAGTGGGTATTGTAATTACAGGGAACTATGCCCGATTATGTAATGAGAAGGAAGGCTAAATGAGAAAATGTGTGAGAAGGAGCCATAAAAAGGGTACTACTACTGTAGAAGTTAGAGTAAGGGTATTTCAGGAAGGAAATATTGAGAAAGAAGGTAATGGGAACAGTGACCAAACGTATATATAATAGAAAAAGGGGAAAGGGTTATAAAGAGTTTAAAAATCAATAAAAAAAAAATGAGGGAGTGAAGTAGGAGAAAGGTAATATAAGTGAGGAGCAGATGTAGGGGAATTATAAGGGGATAGAAATTGAGAAAAATAAGGGAATCAAGATATGTGATAGGGTTGAGAAAGATTT